TGCAATGGTGCGATCTCGGCTCACCGCAGCCTCCGCCTCCTGGGTTCAGGTAATTCTCCTGCCTCAGCCTCCTGAGTAGCTGGGGTTACAGGCACGCGCCACCAGGCCCAGCTGATTTTTTGTATTTTTAGTAGAGATGGGGTTTCACCATGTTGACCAGGATGGTCTCAATCTCTTGACTTCGTGATCCACCCGCCTCGGCCTCCCAAAGTGCTAGGATTACAGGTGTGAGCCACCGCACCCGGCCAGGACCATTTTCAGCCACCTTCGGGGCACCAATGCAGCCTCACATCCGTCATGATGCCCTTCCTTACCTTAGTCAAGTGAGACAGGGTATTTACTGCACAGGGCACTTAGCTAGGGGAAAAACACAGTAGTAAATCTTGGAGGGGTCAATTAGCCTTTCTTCTTTTCTTGAATCAGGGCAAATCCTAGCCAACCAAACCCACTAGAACGTTAAACAATTATAAAATACTTGATTTAACGCAAGTGGTGTAAAATGTGCTGGTTCTGAAATACGAACAGATTATCTGCTGAGGCAGAGAAGGCTGGGTAAGAGCTTCTTTGGTAAACCTCCCAGTTCCTCGTTAAACACAAAGCAGGGGCTTAATGACACTACTGAATTCAGTGTCACTCAGCTACTATCTCCCACCTATACCTCAATCTCATATGAAAAGCAAAAACATCTCATCTACAGCACAATTACATCGTGAGCACATTTAGGAATCACTAGATATGTCAATAGTTAATACTCTTATCCCTGAGTGAAAAGATACAATGTTAACAGTTAACAACTTTCATCCCTGATGGGTAACTATGGGTGGTTTTAATTTTTACCAGTATTTTATGATAATTTTCACTTTTATATAATTTTTTGTAGTCTTTTTACAACTAGGAATTTTGAACTGAGATAAGGCATTACTATCATATAAACAGGTTTCTCATCTAAAACTAAGAATCAAGTATGTTGACTCTTCTAAAGCAATCCTGTATATTCCAGATGGATTAATAGAGTAAAAAGCATTTTTATTTAATACATACAAAAATTAAAATATGTTGCCGGGCGCGGTGGCTCAAGCCTGTAATCCCAGCACTTTGGGAGGCAGAGGCGGGTGGATCACGAGGTCAAGAGATCGAGACCATCCTGGTCAACATGGTGAAACCCCGTCTCTACTAAAAATACAAAAAATTAGCTGGGCATGGTGGTGCGTGCCTGTAATCCCAACTACTCAGGAGGCTGAGGCAGGAGAATTGCCTGAACCCAGGAGGCGGAGGTTGCGGTGAGCCGATCGCGCCATTGCACTCCAGCCTGGGTAACATGAGTGAAACTCCGTCTCAAAAAAAAAAAAAAAAAAAAAAGAGAGAAAAATTAAAATATGTTTTGGTGAAAGTTATCTAAGTGGAAGGTCTTAATGTCTTGGAGAACTGCAGCATGAATCCTGCTGCCCTTCACATATCTTAGAGAGAGCTTCACTTTAAATAAATGGAACCAAGTCCTTGAGGATTCTCCTTCTCAAATTTTCTATAAATCCATGGATTCAGCCTGGTGGTCAAGGGTAAAAATGAGATCTTTCCCACAGCTGAAAACTGATTTCCTGAAATAAATGATCTCCAACTTTTACCACTTGCTATGATTCATCATTTTTATCTTTTAAAGTTGCAGTAAATTAAGACCGTAGGGCCTTTCCACATGGCCTAACAGGTACGGCTCAGCATTTGAATTTATTTTTATTCTATTTACTATTATTGTTATTATTATTATTATTCCGAAACTGAGTTTCACTCTTGCTGCCCAAGCTGGAGTACAATGGCGTGATCTTGGCTCACTGTAGCCTTTGCAAACTCCTGGGTTCAAGCGATTCTCCTGCCTCAGCCTCCCAAGTAGCTGAAATTGTCTATAAAAAATTATCCCAGCTAATTTTTTGTATTTTTAGTAGAAACGGGGTTTCACCGCATTAGCCAGGCTGGTCTCCAACTCTGGATCTCAGGTGATCCACCCGCCTCAGCCTCCCAAAGAGTTGGGATTACACGCAGGAGCCACCGTCCCCAGCCATTTTTTATTTTTATAAGGGTCTTCCACTGCATCATAAAATCTAAACAAGGGATTGTTTCTCAAACTGTCAGGACCATAAACAATTACATTAAAATAAAATCACCTTAGAAAAATAAAAATAACTTATGTACACTTAGAGAATCAGAATTGATAGTGTTTTCGTTGAGTTCTGTACTGTCAACAGGTTAAATGTGTTAGAAGTCTGAAAAACACTTTTTGTTTCAGAAACAGAGTTTCACTTTTGTTGCCCAGGCTGGAGTGCTATGGCGTGATCTCAGGTCACTGCAACCTCTGCCTCCTGGGTTCGAGCGATTCTCCTGCCTCAGCCTCCCAAGTAGGTGGGATACCGGCCACTGCACGGAGCTAATTTTGTATTTTTAGTAGACACCGGGTTTTACCATATTGGTTAGGCTGGTCTCGAACTCCGTCTGACCTCAGGTGATTCGCCTGCCTCAGCCTCCAAAGTGCTGGGATTACAGGCGTTAGCTACTGCGCCCAGCCAAGAAAATACATTTTTAAATCTTAATTTTTTCATCCGACATAATAATCTATTCCACCAAAATTCGAATTTTTGATAACTACTAAAACCCTTAAGTTATAATTTCCATTTGCCGTATCAAAACATACCTAACATGAGATGGATTGGACAAGAACTACAGGAAAGAAAAGTCACTTTCATTGTTATCCACTGACTTAACATCTAATGAAAACAAGTGTGGATAGTTCTTAAAATCTGCACATGTTGGAAGCCAAATATTCATTCCTGTTGCATGCATTTCAAAGACCATGTTATTTTAGCCCCAAAAAACTGTCATTTCCAAGAAACACTGAAGTCGAAAGAGAAGACAGTCATATCAAAGAGCCTCGATTGTTCACCATGTAAACTACAGTGATTTTTCATTTGTTATACATATAAATTCGCCTCTTTAATCAGTTGACGTTTCCTTTAGGAATTAAGGCAGCTAATTCTCAGAAACCACAAGTTTATTTCTTATAACAGAGAACAAGCTATTTACAGGTTACTCTAAATGTGCTGCAAGTACTTAAGGCAAAATGAATTACCTCTATTTTTCCATCAACAAAATGGGAATATATGGATTCTGAGACGTGAAGTTTTACCAACAAAATTTTTAGCATGGGTTTTTAAACTCTGAACTCATAATCCCAGCATCACCTCAACTTTACGACCTTGCAAGGAAGAAAACGGGCTAGGTGCAAGTCTCCCCGTACCCAAGATGGCCCTGTCACAGGCGGCACCTCCCACCACAGCCACCATTTTGACTGCAGGATATAATTACTCACGATTTTGTACCAACTGAAAGAAAACGCAGGACATCAGAGTAACTGAGAAACATCCCTTGACCTTTAAGATTCCCAACTCTTATTTGGCTTTCGTGGCTCTGTTTCTGTTCTTTAGTCAATATGAACAATTGTCTCAAGAACATTTTCATTAACAAAATTATGCTTGCTACATTCACGTTCAAACTTTGAAAACGCTGTGGCGCTGCGTAAAATGTCCAAGTTATTACCTCTTCCTAAAAAGTGGAGAAGCGCACGATTTGCTCACATTGTTTCAATCAGCTTAAGGAACTCAGAATCGCCAAAAGCCAGTGAGTGGCCCTAGATTATCTGTCCGCATTCCTCTTCTTTCTCCCATCCCAAACCCTTTTGATCTTTTTATTTTCCCGATTTCATTAACTGCGACGAGAGCAAGCTGCGGCACTTCATTCACAGGAGAAGCAACTGATATTTCAGCAAACACGACTGAATCTAAAAATAAAGGTGAGGCAAAGAGCTCAGGAATAAACGAGTTGAAATCAACCCGAAAATGGCACAAAGTAAGAGCCGTGGGGCTGGGGAGGCAACAACGATCTGCTCTTCCAAAAGAGTGGCTCTAATTTTGATTACTGCGTCGGCGAACCCATCCGCAGAACGGAAAACAAAAATTGACCAACGCAGTTGCCGTTCACCTTTGTCCAAAGGCAAAAGGTGAAAAGTCACGACACGTATTGCCACAGAAGAGAAGGCAATTCAACCTGCCAACCAATCGACAATTTCTCAGCTCCTTCCAAACACAAAATTAGGAGAAAGGGGCTGCCGCGGGGCTGGCCGCAGCCAGGCCGGGGAGTGCGCTGCGCTCCGCACGCTCCCGCCACCCGTCGCGCTCGTCCGGGACGCTCGGGTTTCGGCCCAGTTTATCACAAAGCCCCGGGCTGGAAAGCACCTCCGGCCTGGCCAGAAAGGCCAGCCCGCCTCTGCGCTCGCCCCGGGGCATAATGGTGGCGAGCGCGACTCCAAGGGCTCCCGAGCCCCGAGATAAAGAGGCTGAATATTCCGAGAAGAAGGGCGCTGTGGAAGAATAACGGAGTCCCAAACTTTCCCTCCGCAGCCTCGGAGCCCCGCGCCCAGGCCCGGTCCCGGACGGCCCGAAGTGGGCCGGAGCGCCTCCCGGGAGTTTAGGGCCTCCGGGAGACCCCGCCACGCGCCCGCCCGAGCGGGGCGAGCCCTCCCCGCCGGCCGGGTCCAAGTTAATCCCGCGCGGCGCCCCCCCGCGCCCGGCCCCGCCGGAGCAGCTGGCTCGCGCCTCAATGGCACCGGGCGGCGAGCGCGCGCAGCTCTCGCGCCCACACTCAGCCCCGCCGGAGAAGTCCCGGGAGGGCCGCGGGGTCCCGCTCCCGCTCCCGCTCCCACAAAAGCACGGGCCCGCCCCGCCCTCGTGCCGCCCGCTCCGCCGCTCCAGGAGCCGGCGTCCCCAGCCCGACGCCCGCACTCGGCACCCCGGGCAGAGCCCGGCGGCCCCCGCCCGCCCTCCTGCCCTTCCGCGCTCTCCGCCCGGCCCCGGGCTCCCGGCCGAAGTCCCTCGGGCCCGGGACGCCCCGCGCGGGGCAGGCGGAGCAGGGGGAGCAGGGGGCGCAGCGCGCCGCCTCCCGCCCGCGCAGCCACTCACCTCGATCTCGAAGTCGGGCAGGCGGAACGCGGTGCGAAAGAGCGAGCAGAAGTGCGCGATGGCCGGGACCTCCCACCAGGAGCGGAGCTCGCCCAGCCCGGCCGCGCCGCCCTCCTCCGGGCACATCTCCCCGCCGCGGCGCTGGCGGCGGCCCCTCGCTGCCCGCGCTCGGCCCGCCGGCCTGGGACTCCCGCCGCGGCAGCGCCGCAGCCTCCGCGCGGTCCTCGGCGGGGGCGGCGGGGCGCTTCTCCCGCTGCTGCCGCCGCTCGGCGAGTGCTGGGGCCGAGGGCGGGCGCCGGGCGGGGGGCGGCGGCGCGGGGGCCCGAGCTACTGAGGCGGCTGCGGCTGCGGCTGCCCGCGGGGTCCGCGCGCTCGCCCCATCCCGCGGCTGAGGCGGCGGCCGCCCCCCGTCCCCTACAATATAATCGAGTCCCCGCCGGGGAAACAGATGGGGCTGGGGGCGGAGGGGCCGGACGCGGGGCCGGGGGGAGGGGCCGCCCACGAGGAGGGGGCGGGGCTGCCCGCGCCACAACAACAACCCCCGCCCCCGCCCCACCCCCGCCCGGACAGCTGCACCGCCGGGGAGGGGGTGAGGGGGAGGGGCGGGGCGCGCGCCCCCGGGCCCAGGACCGCGGGGCCTGGGGGGCGCGGGCCGCCCCCCGAGCACTCTCAGGCGGCGCCCTCCGCCCGGCAGGGCTTTGGGACCGGGGAGTTGAGGCACTTTCCCGAGGGAGGACGACCTGGGGCTCTCCCACCCCCACTTGGCCTGAGTGGTCGCGTCCTTTTAAAGGGCCCGCGGGGTGGTGCTTTCGGTCGGGCTCGCTCCAGAAACGTGCACGTGTGGGAGTTCAGTTATTATTGATGGCGAGGGCAGAGCCGGAGCAGGAGCGGGGTGTCCACCCTAGAAATGTGAGGCCTGGAGAACTGAAGTGCTTTCCACCTGTTCCCCAACGCTTTTATTCCAGCCGAGAACGGCGCCCAAGGAGCTCTCAAGTGGCTCTTTTCTCCGAGGGAAGAAGGCGGCGGGGCTGATTGAGCTGGAACTAAGTAGGATGGAGGCCGGAGAGCGGCGGGAAGGGTGGGGTAGGGGGAGGCACCAATCAGCGGCCAAGCGGGAAGAGCGATCCCCACCCCAGGGAATGGACACGTGTGACCGCCCCGGAGAAGACGGGCTCGGAGCCCTACCACTGCCGGGCCGCGGAGGAGCCGCCTGGAAGAGTGCGCACATTGTGCCTCGCAGGCGGGGGGATGGGGCCCAGGAGACCGGGAAGCCGGGGCGTGTGCTCGGGGGAGGAGACCCGCATGCCCCGGCGGAGGGATTGAATCTGCTCCTGGAGAAGGCTGTTGAGGTGTGTGCTTTAGAAATGCTAACTGCTGTGGCGCGGCGGAATACTGCTAAACCCCAGGGAAAAAATCACCCCAGAAACTGGCTACGAGTTTGGAAAAACTCCATTGAACGCTCGGATATTTGTATTGGTCGTTGCATTTGCAACCTGCTGGTCTCAGAGGGTCGCCTCTGAGTTCGGTGGTCAGCCTCTCAGATAAGAAACACTGCTCCTGGCGCGTCCCCCAAATTAATCAACTACTTACTGAGTGACAGGCACCATCACAAAGTGTACGGTGATTAAACTCAGAGATCCTCTTCTACCTTTAAGCAGTGGACAATCTGGAGAGAATTTATATGATAGATTTTGGAGTGGGCTGTTTGGTTAATTCCCCCTCCACTCTCCCTCACTTTATTCTGATAATTTTAATAACCTGTTGTATTTTCATAAGGCATCATTCAAAAACATTTTTTAAATTTTTTTAATGTATTTTAAGAGAAAATATATTCATAACAAGGGTCTCTCTTCCGCTCCTACCGCTCTCCTGGCACAGGAAAAAAAAACAGTTCTGGCCGGGCGTGGTGGCTCACGCCTGTAATCCCAGCACTTTGGGAGGCCGAGGTGGGCGGATCACGAGGTCAAGAGATCGAGACCATCCTGGCCAACATGGTGAAACCCCGTCTCTACTAAAAATAAAAAAATTAGCTGGCGTTGGGGCGTGCGCCTGTGGTCCCCGCTACTCGGAAGGCTGAGGCAGGAGAATTGCTTGAACCCGGGAGGCGGAGGTGGCAGTGAGCCGAGATTGTGCCACTGCACTCCAGCCTGGTGCCTGGCGACAAAGTGAGACTCTGTCTCAAAAAATTAAAAAAAAAGAAAAGTTCTGATCTTTTGTTGCCTGGAACTATTTGATAATTTAAAGTGCATCCTCGGCGCCGGGCGCGGTGGCTCAAGCCTGTAATCCCAGCACTTTGGGAGGCCGAGGCGGGTGGATCACGAGGTCAAGAGATCGAGACCATCCTGGTCAACATGGTGAAACCCCGTCTCTACTAAAAATACAAAAAATTAGCTGGGCATGGTGGTGCGTGCCTGTAATCCCAACTACTCAGGAGGCTGAGGCAGGAGAATTGCCTGAACCCAGGAGGCGGAGGTTGCGGTGAGCCGAGATCGCGCCATTGCACTCCAGCCTGGGTAACAAGAGCGAGACTCCGTCTCAAAAAAAAAAAAATAAATAAAGTGCATCCTCAAATTCTGCCACGCGTGTTATTTAATGTTTAGCAAACATGAGCTCCCACGTGACTGCTCCCAAAGGGCCGAGTCTACCTTTGTGTGTGTTGGTGAAGCACAGCTACCCTCTGGGTGTTGCATGTGCTGGGGAGATGGGAGAAGGGACACAGGCAGCCCGGAATCGTCATGTAACCTGAACGAGGTGATTTCTGAACTTGCTTCTTTGTCTTTCTTCATTTCCTCACAGATAGATTGACTTTGCACACTTTTTCCTCTCTTTTTAAAATTTATTTTGTTTTTTTAAGTGTTGGCCGGTCTCGGTGGCTCACGCCTGTAATCCCAACACTTTGCGAGGCCGAGGCTGTGGATCACCAGGTCAAGAGTTCAAGACCAGCCTGGCCAACATTGTGAAACCCCCGTCTCTACTAAAAATACAAAAAATTATCTGCGCGTGGTGGTGGGTGCCTGTAATGCCAGCTACTCGGGAGGCTGAGGCAGGAAAATTCCTTGAACTCGGGAGGCGGAGGTTGCAGTGAGCCGAGAACGCGATCACGCTATTGTACTCCAGCCTGAGCAAAAAAAAAAAAAAAAAAAAAAAAGTCACTGCGTTTCGCTGCCTTTATCTTTTGTCATCGTTTAAGCTTCTTCCCTGACCTCTCAGTTGTCACCACTAGCCAGCCTAGTAATAATAGTGCCTGGGATATTAATAACACCAGGAAGAAGACGGGCGAGATGATTTGACTACCCTTTAGTACGGTAGTGCGTTTACTGTCGTTTACAGACACCACTCCAGCCCCCATTTAAAGGCTGAGCCGTTGTCCTCCTGCCACCTCCGCCCACGTCCAAGCCTGGAAATCAGCAAGGTCGTCCGGGAGCGGCACGCGCCCCCTGGTGCTGTTCAGAGATCCACCCTGCGTCTCGGGGCTTCTCCCCTCTGCTGCCCTTTTCTTTTTTTTTCTAGTCTATTTTTTAATTTTAAAGATGGGGTTTCACCATGATGGCCAGGCTGGTCTTGAACTCCTGACCTCAGGTGATCCACCCACCTCGGCCTCCCAAAGTGCTAGGATTACAGGCGTGAGCCACGGCGCCCGGCACTCTGCTGCCCTTTTCTTCCAAGGGTCCCTCCTCTGTTCTGTGGGGCAGCACGCCAACTTTAGACCCGTTTCCTCCCACCATTCTCTAACTCTGGCTGTCTCCACAGTTTTTTGCCTGGTTCCTCCACCCACCCTGCTACTCTGTCCTCAGTTACCCCCTGGAAGGGATCCTGGCCCCAGGCTCTGAGGGGTCTCAAGTGTCTTGGAATGAGCTGTAAATCTGAATCTTGAGTTTCCAACCAGAACTTTCCATTTGGACCTCCTCTGGCCCTGTTGGCATTGATACTCTGAGTCTTTGACCCTGCTTTGAACATCCGTGCCACCCTTCCCCTTGGACTTACTGCCTCGCACCTATTTTCTGCACTTATTTACAGCCTAACTTCCTGGAATCTAGATTAGGGACCCCCTGCCGATAAGCTGGCCACTCACTCTTCTTCCCTTCTCCCTTTGATTCCGAGTGCTATTGTACTTCTTAGCCTGGCCCATTTGTTCACCCTCAAAGCACTGGTTGTGTCATCTTCCTTAAAAACACACAGCTAGGCCAGGCACGGTGGCGCACGCCTGTAATCCCAGCACTTTAGGAGGCCGAGGTGGGTGGATCACGAGATTAAGAGATCGAGCCGGGCGCGGTGGCTCAAGCCTGTAATCCCAGCACTTTGGGAGGCCGAGGCAGGTGGATCACGAGGTCAAGAGATCGAGACCATCCTGGTCAACATGGTGAAACCCCATCTCTACTAAAAATACAAAAAATTAGCTGGGCATGGTGGTGCGTGCCTGTAATCCCAGCTACTCAGGAGGCTGAGGCAGGAGAATTGCCTGAACCCAGGAGGCAGAGGTTGCGGTGAGCCGAGATCGCGCCATTGCACTCCAACCTGGGTAACATGAGTGAAACTCCATCTCAAAAAAAAAAAAAGAGATCGAGACCAGCCTGGCCAACTTGGTGAAACCCTGACTCTACTAAAAATATAAAACTTAGCTGGGTGTGGTGGTGCATGCCTGTAGTCCCACCTACTCGGGAGGCTGAGGCAGGAGAATGGCTTGAACTCGGGAGGTAGAGGTTACAGTGAGCTGACATCATGCCACTGCACTCCAGCCTGGTGACCAAGCGAGTCTCCCTCTCAAAACAAAACAAAACAAAAACAGCTCATGCTTGCTTTATGCTTGCTTTCCCCTTCTCATTCGTGCTGTTTTCTGTTTGTGAGCCAGTGCCATTAACTTCAGATAACATTAAAAGTAGCAAAAAGTCTGGCACAGTGGCTCACCCCTGTAATCCCAACATTGTGGGAGACCAAGGTGGGTGGATCACTTCAGGCCAGGAGTTCAAGACCAGCCTGGCCAACATAGTGAAACCCCGTCTCTACTAAAAATACAAAAATTAGCCAGGCATGGTGGTTCGCACCTGTAGTCCCAGCTACTCAGGAGGCTGAGGCAGGAGAATCACTTGAACCTGGGAGATTGTACCACTGCACTCCAGCCTAGGCGACAGGGCAAGACTCCATCTCAAAAAAAAAAAAAAAAGTAGCAAGAAGTA